TTCAAGGAGCACAACGAGAGCACATATATAGCTACTCGAAAGAACGACTTTGCTAAAGTGTCTAAAAATTTATCTAGATATAGAAATATATCGATATGAAATTAATTTTGTGTTTGTAGATTATTAAAATAATTATATATACTGGAAAAAGAGTCTCACTAATTGTATTAATAAGATTCTGGTTGAAAAAGAATCAGAATTTTTTTTAATTTAATCTATTATAACTCTAGTTGAGATAACCAGAATTCCGATAGATATCAGCAGAATCTTTTGTGGTTCATCCATTTTCAACTAGAAATTATTTTCTACAAGAATCTCAAAAGTGACAAACAATGTTGCAAAAAGTTTTAAAGTACTCAGAAAAATTTCTAGTTGAAAATCGATCAGAATTCTCGTTTTCTCAATTATAAGAATTATAATTATAAATTCAACTAGAAAATTCTGATTTATTAATTTTTAACCAGAATTTTTAGAAAGCAAAACCGTTCTTTCCGTGCAAGAGCTTTATTATTATTAGACTGACGGGGAACGATCTACGGGTGAGAATTAATTGAGGTATCCAAGTTGCCTTATCCACAGATTCATTCGTAACGACATTCCCACGATGTTAGGTAAACATGACGCATAGAATCTGGACGTGACGGCACGTCGTACTCTTGACGAGGCCTTGGTCTCTCGAATTTGAAGCTGTGCAGCCGATTACATATCGTCCCAAAAATCGGGTTTCATCGCATTGCACTCGACAGATTTAATGAGCAGTGTGCGGTGGATTACGGCGTGGCGAAGTAAACCGCTCGATGGCGATACGGTAGTTTAGTCCTAACGGCACAAGTACACGGTTCTCTCTGTATCCAAGCAACATTCGCTCTTCGCGCGCGCGCACGAATTTGCGCGTACTGCGGATTATTGCTTCCGGACGAAGTGGCATAACTCGGCCCCGGTTCAGCACGGCCAGCTCACATTCAAGCGATGTAGTCTGGTCGTTAGCCGATTTCGCTGGGAGGTGATAAAGGATTGGGTGGATGAAATCAGTTTGCCTCGAAACACACGCATCGCGGCGCAAACAACCGTGACGCCGCACGTGGGTGCTTTCATCCCAAGGCAGTTGGTTTTCTCTCTCGACGATTCACTCGCATTTCCTGATTCCTGTCATTGCGTATTAATTTCGAATTCTAATCGCGCGCAAATTCGTTGATGGGTAACGAATCAGAAGAAAGAACAAATACTATAAGCAAGCATCGTACACAGTCATTGTGGTCGAAACGTTATTATTATTTGACGACAGATATTGATTTTACAAAATTGCGAGGGACGCTCGATTTATCTCGCGCGATTAATTCTGCGCAAGCTCAGATAAGATATATTGAACGACTAGATAAGACGCACATTATGTCGTACTTGATGATGAAGGTTAAGTCGATCAACAAACATACACCGAGTAACGAGGCATAATATTACGCTGAGTGACACGTGTCGAGGTTACACATGTATTTAAGTTATACATTCAGACATAAATTTTGAAATGTGCATGAACGCATTAAATGTCTTCTCTCTTTCTCACTAATGTAAATTAACTTTAATCTCGGTTTAACTTACTTTTACCTTTTTCCTGTTTTATAAGAATTAGAATAAGATGGAATAAATTAAATTGAGATTAAAAAATTAACATTGATGGAAGTGGACATTTAAACTTTCTTTTATCCGATGAAAAAACGTGTCTTCGTTCCATAGATTGTATCTTCATCAATAGCGGCGCTAAGTACATCGATGAACAAATTTCTTTTGCAATCGATGGTTTACTTTCCTTGCATTGCAGTAAAAAATGTCCAGCGTGCATTCTGCATAAAATTCATGCGATTTTGCCATTTTACACATCCACGAATAGAAACGTACCGTTTACCGTTATCGTTAACGTGCATTTTAACGTAGATGGTGTTTTAATCCGCTGATGAAACGTACTTTTGATCAGTGTCGGATCAGAAGGAAGAAAGGGTCTCGTATTTTCGCGCTACTGCAAATAGCGGGAACTCAGAGAAAGTAATTAGTTCGACAGGAAGGACGTGGGAAACGCAGTTTAAAGTATTTCTTGTTTTCATTTACTTATTTTTTGCTTCAAAGCCGCGACGGAGTGGTGGAGGAAAGAGCGAGTGCAATATTGACGCCGTGGTGCAAGCCATGTCGTTATCCGCCAATCTCCGACACACACCTTTCGTCCCATAAAATTGCCTCGCGAAAGCGCCGCGCAGAGCGAGAGCTTTATCCAACCGAAGCCTTTTTCCTTCGCTTCGCCACGCCATTGCGGCTTGCAATCCACACTGGGTCCTCTGTGTACTCTCATATAACGTTGTACGATTAGGCGCAAAGGATTAATGTTCGGTGTGACGGTATTTGTGCTGAAATCGAACGTAAATGGAAACTTATCTTACAGTACAGTCTTACGTGCAACATGTATAATATTTTTATATTATTGAGCTTAATAATTTATTAATACTTGAAATTATGTTATGGACTTGCGCCGTAAAATGGAGTAACTGTGACCCACATTTAAAAAAATGCCTGAACAGCATGTATGTCCAAAATGAAGACACAAGACGTTAGTACTATTGTACTATCTCAGGCATTATCAAATTTGAGCCAAAGTTATCTTATTTTACAATTTCCTAAAAAAAAGGGGGGGGGGAATAAAAAATGGATTTAGATTCTTGATCAATACAGAAAACTAGTATAACTGAGTTTCATTTTCTCGCTACTATAGAGTCTATAAAGATCATCTTAGATAACCATTCTTGGATTAAATAAGAGTCTATTCTTTGGATCAATAGTCTCTACGAGCACTTTGATAAATTTTTAAGCGCAACGAAAAAAGGTTCGTAATCCACGATGCAGCGCTCTCACGGTGAGATTCTTCTACTTCGCTGAAAAAGAGTCTTACGTTTGGTTGGGACCATCAATGACGAATGCGATGGGGAGAATTAATTTCTTTTTAGGTCTATACTACTATAATGTACTTGATTTCGCGAAATGTAAAAGAGGAGGACGGGCCAGTTGCTAGGGTCCTTGAAGAAACGTCATTTAGCTTTACGACGGCGATGGCGGGTACGCCGATCCTGCGATTGGCGGGAGGATGCTGTTGCGGGTAGAGAAGGCTGACGGAATATCGTATTACATCTGCGGAAGACGCAAGATTATTCGAGCTCTTGGGCCAGGTGGAACGGGATGGTGAGGCGCGCAGGCGAGGAGGAGAACAGCAGGGGAAACTCGCGTAGAGCGCTCGATTCTCTATTAGAGGGTAATACGTATTATCGATTTTGGGATGAAACCGGGAGGGTTATCCCGGTTCAAATCATGACAAATGTATAGATACACACCGACGCGCGCGCAACCGCGTGCGCTCGTGCGTGCGTATGTATAATACGTATGTATGTGTATGCGCATTGGTGGATGCGTTTCTCGCGACCGCACCCTGGAAAAACTTTTTCCAATCTCTTCTTCCCCCTTCTCTTCCTCTTTCCGGCGCCATTGCTGTGAATTTGTTTGCCTGGCCGAAAACAGGGTCGTCGACTTGGAGATCTCGCAAAAATCCTCGCCGCGCCGGTGAGAGGTAGCTCGTGGTTTCTAAGCGGATTCGTCTTTGAAATCCGGCGATAATTGTCTCGAGTTTCTGCCGTATTTCGATTATTGGAGATACTTTGTTAGAGGAATCAATTACGATGTTGCCACTGTATCTAGTCGAGATTTATCCAGATTATATATAGGCTATATGTATTTTTTTTCGCTAATATAGCTATATACGTATATTATCTGTTAAATCTTGTTGATAACTTTACGAAAAATATGTTTATTGTTTAATTATAAACTACTATATGAATCGAAATTTTGAGACGAATATTAAAATATTGTCAATCATGATTATTGAGTAATTAGTAATAAAAGAGTAATCAACTTTTCTGATTGACTGCGTTTAACAGAGAAAACTAATCGTATTAAACTTATTAATTAACTGCAATTACTACTTAATAATCAATCTTATGATTATATACATGATTAAGAATTATTTTAACCTCTAAATACCAATTTTTTTATTAATGTCCAATTTTTTTATTAATAAAGACACATTTATTTAGAACTTATATTCTTTAATGTTCTGAATTTTTATTCAGACGAGCTTTTTACGATATTTTTATTTTTATGAAGGTTGTAAGTAATCGAATTAGGTCAGTATATATTATGTGTTGTTTTCATAGTGAAACGTTTAAGAATTAATCATGTTCTTTAATCATTAGTTATGAAAATTGTTTTCGTTCGATATTGACAAAATACGATGAATTTTAAATGTAAAATAGATATTGTTGAGATCGAGGTTGATACGTAATATGGTAATATTGTATAAATGAAGGACTTAATAATGTGCACTCAATAATAACTATTTTGGTTCATTGTATCGCGATCATTGAGTCATGTGTCATCGATCTTTTTAATTCGGTAGACGATTCGCTCGTCGAGATTATTTACGAGTCGCGATATCAAGGTCCGACACTCCGCGAAACAAAACGGCGCTTCGCGGGCGGCCGTATAAAGACAGCGGCTGAAAAAGCGTCGCGAGTATTGACAGGTACGGTGAGAAACTGCCCGGGTTAATCGCAGAAAAAGCTGTGGAATCGAGCTCGGCGACACTGAGCGACGAGTTAAATACCTCGCTTGGTTCGATCATCTAGCAACAGAGCAGCGGAAAAAGCGGTAATCTTTGAAAATCTACTCCAACTCGAGCTTGATCGAAAGGCGGTCAATGCTATTATACTGGCTAAAGCTGTATAATAAATAAAATAATAAAATTAGGAATTATTAGTAAGGATTGAGAGGTAATGACACAGCGAGTATAACTCTTGAATATACGATATTTATTGCTGACAGATTTCTAATCTTACGTCGTTTCTTGTATTCTTTCTGTTTTTCGTAAGTCCACCTGTCGATTAACGGTTCCCTCCCTCTTCTCGTTTCAGCAGCCGAAATTCCTCAAGAGGACGACCGAGGAGTTGGAGCCAGCCGGTGGTGCTAGTGGCGATGGTGGCTTCGGCGAGCCGCCGGTTAAGCTGCAATGCACGCAAGGGCCTCATCAGCATCAACAGGGTCCTGGTGGTGGTGGTGGCGGCGGCGGGCCCCATCACGGCCACGGCCAGCATCAACCGGGGAACGGCGCGAACTCGACGGGTCCAACGCCCGGTGGTGGTGGAGGTGGTGGTGGTGACGGGAACGAAGGTCTCACCAAGTTTCAGGTTCAGATCGTACAGCAACTAGAGTTTACAACTTCAGCCGCGAATAATTCACAAGCCCAAGCAATCTCTACGAACGTAACGGTAAAAGCAATGACGAATGCATCGGTGAAAAGCGATCTTTTAAACGCGTCATCGTCACCAAAACCCGGTTCAGATACGTCTGCGTCAGCCGCGTCGAGATCGCAGCCTGGAAACGGCAACGGTCCCGGAGGTCCTGGCGGGCCCGGAGCAGGTGGCGGCGCCGGTGGCGCTGGCGGTAGCGGTGGAATCGGTTGCGTTGACATTGGTAACCTAGTCGAATGTAAACAGGAACCCGACAATGAGTTCGTGGATCTGGAGCAATGCGCCGCGGCATTAGAGAAAGATGCTGCGGCGAACGGCACCGGTTTCCCCGGCTTCTCTGAATTCATGGGCGATGACACCGGCGACGAGATCATCACGTCGGATGCATTCAAGGATCTCATTTCCGAAATTTCGGACTTTCATCCGGAGTTTATGAAGGACTTTGATTTTGAAGATAAGAGCGTCGATACGCTGGCG